ATCATGATCTCATGGTTGTGAGATCGAGCCCCATGTCAGGCTCTGTGCTGAGCTGAGCATGAAGTCTGCTTGGGATTCTCTCTTTCCTCTCCCTCTCCCCACCCCTGTGCCCCCACCCCCCGCCCCCATGCACCCTGCCCCCCCTGCTCATGATCACTCTCTCAAAAAAAAAATTAAAATATGGTTGTCTTGAGGGAAAATTCTTATATAATTGAGGTGCAAACTGAACTAGCCACTTTTTTCATGGACTGCCATTTTTACTTTAAAGAATAACGGGCAGGGGCGCCTGGCTGGCTCAGTCAGTAGAGCATGTAACTCTTGATCTTAGGGTTGTGAGTGCAAGCCCCATTTTGGGCAAAGAGATTACTTTAAAAAAAAAAGAAGAATAACTGACAGAAAATTATTTAAACATGGGTATTTGGCAGGCTTCTCTCAAAAAGGAAGAAATGGTTCTGTCACTTCCAAGGAAAACAACTGACGGTATTTGTTGCCAATAAATTTGAGCTTTCAAACCAAAATTAAAATTTTGGAAAACTTGTATCTGCTGCTGTGAACTTGACCGCTTTCTAATGCTTAAGGGACTTCTCTGATAATATTAGTGGTGATATTAGCAAATGTATATTTTTGATATTATATACCCATGAAATGTATTAACATTTGGAAGCTCTGCTTAACATAGTGGACTACTGTTTTCTAAATGACTAAAAAATGTATGATTTAACAAAGTCATGCATGGGTAAATAATACATTCAAAGTGTAAGATAGGCAAATGGATTTTAATATGAAAGAGTATGAAAAGTTTGATAGGTTCTATATTTCACATTGACACTAACCTTTAAGAAACTATCATTTATTCAGTTTTGATACAGTATCAAAGAAGAATATCCACATTTACCTGAAAAGGCTATTAAAATATTCCTCCATTTTCCAATACATACTTGTTTGAGTCCAAGTTTTAATATACTTTAACCCAAACAACATATCACACCAAATTGAATGCAGAAGAAGATATGAGAATCTAGATGTCTTCTATTAAGACAGACATTAAAAAGATATCAAAAATGTGAAACAGTACCATTACTTTAAGCTATACATTTTTTTTGTTTGGGAAGGTATAGTAAGTTTTCACTTAAAAGATATTATTTAAGGGGGCGCCTGGGTGGCTCAGTCGCTAAGCATCTGCCTTCAGCTCAGGTCATGATTCCAGGGTCCTGGGATTGAGCCCCGTATCCGGCTCCCTGCTCAGCGGGAAGCCTGCTTCTCCCTCTCCCACTCCCCCTGCTTGTGTTCCCTCTCTTGCTGTGTCTCT